TGAAACCTGCTAATCAAAAGAATTCTAATGAGACCATTGTCATATCGATATCCCTTCATTTCAAAAGTAAATTGATAGTATTATTTATTCACTTAAACAAATCCAACCCTCATAATATTATCTTAGAAGAACCACATGATAAATTGATCTATCAAATATCTCCAACATACCGTATTATTTTAGTATGTTATGTTGTTATATTTTGAAAACCTCACTTTAACGGTATGTATGTTTATTATTCTTCGGCACGAGTTAATTTCTATCATATGATTTGATCATGTGTACTTAATTATATATATTTTTTCAATGTCTTTAAATTACACCTAAAATTAAGTTTATAATCCAATAAGTAATATTTTGCAATTTTTCAATTTATTAGCTTAAATTCAATTTACATTAAATAAATAAAATAAAACTTGATCATTATTATTTTCTTGATGAAATGCCTTCAAATTATATTTCGAATTAAATTATTTTAATATAATGGTTAGTCTCTCACCACAAGAATTTAAGGTTTTAGAGACGAAATCACTTTTTAAGGACAAAATAAAAAAGTTGTCAAAAGTGTTATTATTTTATTTTTGGTGACAAAATTAGACATTTAGTAATGAATTACTAACTTTTTGGGACCAAAAGTTGTCTCAAAAAATAAACATTTTTGGGTTCAGATTATTTTATTTCTAAATTAGCAACATTTAAAAATTGTTCCTAAAAGCTCATTTTTTAACTTTTTTGGACGATTTTTTAGCGACTATCGTTGCGATAATTGAAGTCAGTCCTCCCTAATGTTTGTTTTTTTTTTTTCTTTTTTTGGATAACAAAAACAATTGGTCTCTAAAACTCTTATATGTTGTAGTATCTCTTCTTATTTATTTTTTTATATAGAAAAATTATTTTTAAATTAATTTATTAATTTTATTGAATTTATATTTTTGGCGCAATATAGTAAATTTATGGGCAAATTACATCGATGGTCCCTACATTTTTCTCCTTGTATCATTTTGGTCCCTCCATTTTCAATTAGCTCGATTTTGACTCTTAATTTTAAATTTTTGTCTAATTTTGGCCTAATTGATAATGCCATTAGTGTTTTTGACAAAAAAACAATTACTGAATTGGTTGAGTTTATCTCACTGAGTTTAGTAAATTTATAATTTTTTTCTTAAAAATGTGACACATGTCACTTATGTACATATTTTTCATGAAAAAAAATGTTAAGAGTTGTAATGTATTCGATCAAATTGAAACAAAATCATAAATTCAAGATCAAAATTGGGTTAATTGAAATTATATGGACCAAAATGATACACGTACCAAAATATAGGAACTGCTGTCACAATTTGTCCAGAATTTATTATGCTAAAATTTAATATGATATTCCTATCGTGCTAAATTTTAATGATAGATAGCATTATATACTAATGGGTTATTTGGGATATCCTAAATAAGTGTATTTTTTTTGACTTTTTAGACTAAAATGTTGAGGGAAAAAATATGGTTGTTTGGGATAATTTTTTGACTTTTTACGAAAAAAATGTGTACTAAAAAATTGTATAAATTAGTATATAGGAGAAGCTTTTTGGCGAGTAGGCGGTATGGTGGGCAGTACGGTGGTAGCATTGTGCAGAGTAGTGTATAAGAGATGCTTGCCTCCTTTTCGGGCATTGAATTGGACGGTGTTGTTCGGCCCGTGGGGGCCCCACCATGGGATCGTTTTGCTAATCGGAACCGTTCAATGTGTAGAATTCGTCAAGTACTATATGCTTGGAGAAAATCACGTTGATCGGATATCGATAGCTATCTGATCAGATTAGTTTTTTTGTCAACCGTTAACTATAACACCATCCATTTTTTTAGAGTGAACTGATTTGATCATGTAGTTAGCGATATCCAATCAACGTGATTTTTTACGTGGATATAATACTCAACGAGTTCTACACATTGAATGGTTCAGATTATCAAAACAGCATCCGTGATGGGTCCTCACGGGTCAAACAACACCATCTTGTTTGTGCACCCGCCTGTTCCCTTTGTCCAACCAAAGTTAGCTAAAGTACAATTCAACAAAAAATAAAAAAAATCATAAAATCAAATCAATACCATTTCTATTACCAACACAGGCTTATGAGGCCGTTAAATATATTTCTTTTTAGGCATATTTATTAATAAATCTCATTTCATAAGCAAGTATTCTAATTAATTCTAAGTTTTTTTCTATTAATCTATTAAGTCCTATTAGTGGAGAGTTTCTTTCCGTGTAGTCCTATTTTTTTATTTTGGTAGTGTTATGGTGAACAACTATACCCTTTTATTGATGACAGGAGGAGGTTGGATTCCAGTACTAAACAGGAGAGGTCGACAAGCAACTCAAGTTGGGTCTAAGGAAAGAAGACGTGAACAGATGTATACTCTGTTTGTAGACAACTTACCAGAAACCATGGAACCAAGAAGAATGTTTGAATTGTTCAGAAAATTTGGATTGGTTAAGGATGTTTTCATTCCATAGAAGATGAGGAAAACAACAAACACAAGGTTTGGATTTATTCGTTTTGATTGCCCTATTGCAGCTAGTATAGCAGAACAAAAGACAAACGGATTATGGGTTGATGATAAAGCCTTGGTAGTTCAGAGTGCAGCCTATGGGAAAGGTAACGATGACAGGAGGAGGTTCAAACAAGTGCAATGGAGACAAACGGAGCCAAGAAGGCCACCAGGCACAAATGCATCTAGAAGGTGGAATCAAGTCTTAGATGGCAGATCATATGTAGAGGTCACCAAAGGAGCTCAACCAAAAGGTCATTCAACTCCCACAATCAGAGTCGAAGAAATAGGAAATGGCTGGTTGTATGAGAGCTTGATTATAAGGCTCAAACCTGGATACTCTGTTGTAGAAGTTAAAGCAGAACTAAAAGTGAAAGGAGTGAAGGATGTCCTGGTGAAAGAAGGAGGTGGTCACGATATAGTATTTCTTTCAGATCTAGAGAGGCCTTGAGAAGTACGATAGGCTTGATTAAGGAATGGTTCCATGCCTGGTGTGTATACATCACGGAATGGGAACCTGGTATGCAATTTCAGCCGGAAAGATATGCTTCGATTAGCTGTTTTGGTGTTCCGTTGAATTTGTGGAATTCGGTTATGTACAGAAAGATAGGCCAACTATGGGGGGGAAGTGATTCATTTAGATACAGACCTCTGTAATCCATCATCTTTTCGTTGTGGAAAGGTAAAGATAGTCACAAGTGTAATGGAACCGATAAATACCAGTCTGAATCTAGAGTGTAGAGGCAGATTATACCCGATAAGAGTCTGTGAGGATCAGCCTAGTAAGGAGGCTTCGACTAGCTGTAAAGGTAATAACACCGAGGAGGGTGATGAGGAAGTTAATTCTAACGTTAATGGGGTTTTACAGTTAGTTGCAGACAGCAAGAGGGAGGTAGACGATGTTGATAAGGAAGCTGAGTTGGAGGATGATGTGGCAAGTAAGAACGAGAAGGCCAAAGATGTTTCAACCCCTAGGCTGAAGGAAATGAGTGAGATAGGGGTAGGTGATAGTTGCTTGCAACTATCAATGGTGAAAGAGACAGAAGAGTGTATGGGGAATTCAAATGAAACAGACTCCGGCATGGGTGATACAATGATGAAAGAGGAAAGTGTGCAGCAGCAGCAATTGCAGAAGTGTAATCATGAGTTGGGAAAGGTTGACGGGATTCAAAAAGAAAAAGAGCTGGTCTCTAGTCAAGGCTTTGTTAGAAGTGTGACTGAAACCCAAAAAGGTAGACCTGGTGTCTGTTTGGAGGTGGATTTGGGCCATGATCAAAATAGACCCCAGCCCAATGAGTGTGTCCAATACAAAACTCAGGGGAATGGGCTCAGTCACCCGTTGGTAAGTTCTAAAGGTGGCCACTTAAGGGTGGGCTGCAAATCCAAAAGCATTGATTCTATTAGTGTCTCTAGTGGTGGTTCCACTAATAACCTGATCAAGCAAGGCCCAAGGAAAGAGATCAGGCAAGGTAGATATAAATATCCACTGGCTGTAGGTGGTTTTAACGGGCTGGCCAGAAGAGTTGGGCAGAGAGGTGTGGGTGCAGGAAGAAACAGGGCTCATCAGTCAGCCACGGTGACAGTAGCAGTGCAAAGGCCATGCGTAGATGATAGTCATAACAACAGTGAATCAGATAAAATTCTCGAAGCTCAAGCCACGTTACGTCTGGGGAAAAGGCTGGGGATTGATTTCAAAGGGCAGGATGCAGAAATTTTGAAGAAACTAGTACACTTAGAGGAGAAGGATAAAGAGAGGCTAGGAGGGAGGTCTGAGAGGATGGGGGACTGATGCTTCCATGTAATCAGTAATGTTTGGGAGGTGGTACAGCTGAAAAATGTTTATGATGAAGCTTTTAAGTTGGAACATTAGAGGGATGGGTAGACCAGAAAAGATGAGAAAGATCAAGAACCTGTTATTTGACAGAAATATTGATATGGCTTTGATTTAAGAAACAAAAAAGTCAAGCATGTCCAACTTGGTGATTAGGAGATTGTGGCCAAGGGAAAAGATGGAATCCATGGTTGTGGATGCAATGGGTGTGGCAGGTGGACTATTATGCATATGGGATCCTGATGTATTTCAACTTTTCGAGTGCTGTAGTAATCGAAATTTTATTCTGCTCTCAGGTACCATTCTGCACTCCTTTAACTGTGTTGTCATTAATGTATATGCTCCAAATGATGTTATGAAGAGAGGGAAATTATGGGAGTCCCTTTTAAATTTGAAGACCTGTTTTCCAAAACCATGGTGTCTTGGAGGTGATTTTAATGAGATCACAAGTCTGAGGGAGAGAATAGGTAATTCAAGGAGAGACAGAGGTATAAAGGAGTTTAAAGAGTTCATAGATAGTTGTGAGGTGGCTGATATGCAAATGTTAGGGAGAAAATTTACTTGGTGCAATGCCCATGATGGAAATAAATGGAGTAGAATAGACAGATTCCTCCTTAGCCCTGAGTGAATGGAGAGATACAAATTCAAACTGTGGGGACTGCCAAGGTTGGTCTCAGATCACTGCCCTATAGTACTCAAGGAAGATGAGAGGGATTGGGGCCCCACACCCTTTAAATTTTTGAATGCTTGGTTTCTACATCAAAATTTTGCATCTTTTGTGGAGAATGCATGGAAGGATCTTCAGTTTCAAGGGGATGTGGGATACATTCTGCATAGTAAATTGAAGGCTCTTAAGATGGCATTAAAGCAGTGGAATAGGGAGATCTATGGTAACACTGCTACTCAACTCCAAACAGTAGAAGATCAGCTTAATAGATTGGACCTTAGGGCAGAATTAAGACCTCTAGAGGATGCTGAAATCAAACAAAGAAGAGAGGATACGAATGAAATGTGGAGATTGAGTAGGATGTTGGAATGGGCTTGGTTGCAAAAGTCAAGGTTAGATTGGAATATGAAAGGGGACATGAACGCAAGGTACTTTCATGTCATGGCTACTAGTAGACAAAATAGGAATGCCCTCAATTCCATTGCTGTTGGAGATAGGGTGCTTGAGGAACCATTCCTGGTCAAGAATGAGGTGTGGTCACATTTTAGACAACAGTTTTCAGAAGAATGGAGGTAGAGACCTGTGATCGGGGGTGATTTCAAGAGTGTGAGGCAAAGTGATTCATTCCACTCGCTAGAGTCAGAGTTTTCAGTAGAGGAGGTTTGGGAAGCTGTCAAACTTTGCAATGGGAACAAAGCTCCAGGACCAGATGGATTCAATTTAATGTTTTTTCAGAAACAGTGGGAGGTGCTTAAAGATGATGTAATGCTCTTTATGGCAGATTTCCACAATAAGGGCAGGTTGGCCAGTGGGTTGAATAGTTCTTTCATTACACTTATTCCAAAGAAAGTGAATGCAGCTAATCTGAATGATTATAGGCCAATCAGCCTAATTGGGTCAGCCTATAAAATACTCACCAAGGTCCTAGCAAGTAGACTTAAAAAGGTAATGCCAACTGTAATTGGTGAAGCTCAATTAGCTTTCTTGGGAGGAAGGAACATACTTGATGGAGTATTGATTGCGAATGAAATTGTGGATGGGTGGAAAAAAAACCAAGAGAAGAGGGTTATTGTTCAAAATCGACTTTGAGAAGGCGTATGACTCTCTCAACTGGGACTTCTTGCTATCAATGCTGTCTAGCTTTGGCTTTGGATCAAAATGGATTTCATGGATGAAAGAATGTCTATCTTCAGCTCGTATCTCAATACTTGTGAATGGCTCACCAACTAAGGAATTTTGTCCCCAAAAAGGCCTTAGACAAGGGGATCCTTTATCTCCCTTCCTTTTTAATCTGGCTGCAGAGGGGTTGAACATATTACTTATGAGAGCTAGGGAGTTGGGGCTGTTGAAAGGAGTAGTAGTTGGTGCTAATGGTGTAGTCGTTTCTCATCTCCAATTTGCAGATGACTCCCTACTATTCTGTGATGCTGAATGCTCAGAAGTGCTAAATTTAAAAAGGATTTTAAGGTGTTTTGAAATTGCTTCAATATGAGATGAATGTATAAAAAATGTTTGAAAAATATTTTTTTGATTTTTTACGGAAAAAATACAAAAAGTAGAGATAAATGAAGAAATTTATGTCTTTTTATTGAATGTTTTTTTTTTTTTGGGGGGTGGGGGGGGGGGGTTTTTTTCAAATTTATTTTTTGGTGAGAAATCACCATATTACCCTTATAGTATTGTGAAGCCCTTACAGAGATACGTGGAATTATTTTAAGTATTGAGGGTAAAATATTCTTTTTCACAAGCAGCCTTACTTGCTTTTGGCTTTTTACCCCCAAAACAGCTTATTTACGAGATCCCAAACAGAGCTTTAGATACAAAGAAATCAATTATTTTCAGAGAGCTAGATCTTTTACCGTTAACCCTATCTTTGAAGTTTGGCAGCTGTAAATGTATACCTTTCAGATAGCCAGTCAATGTATGTTTCCCTATTAACGGGACACCACTTAGGGAATTGATCTAACACCCAGGTAATGGCAAACCAGACCTCACAAATGACAGCAGTGAGCCACAAACCAAATGCATTATCAACGGGATGTGTTAATCTGTATTCGAAGAAAAGGACCAGAATAATCGACCGCATAATGATCACAGCTCTGTATGACGAGAGTTGGCCCTTTGAGATTGGAATTACTTTCGAAAGTGTCTGTGCCGCATCTCCTGACCTGCACAAGCAATCATTACATCTCAATAAGACATGTATATTACTAAAATCAAATCAAGTTGATTCCATAAATTTGGAGCATATTGTACAAACAATTTCTCTAATGGGTAAAGGACAGGACTTCATTCTATTTGGAATTTTAATGGAATGGTGGTATTCGACGATTTTTTTCCCCTTTCAGCTAAAATGTAAGCTAATAACACGTTAAAAACAATAACCATCCAAGCAAATACCTATCTCACTAACCTCCAACATCATAAACAGCTTGATGTAATGCATGAAATACAAAAGCATGTTGGAAAAAATTTAAACCATTGCCTAAAGTAATATTTTCCATTCCTAAACCAACTTATGTTTTTTGAAAAAATAAAATAAATGGGCTTACAAAAAAATTGTTTTAAATTCAAAATGCTTTTAGCTATTTGAAATTACTCTAATTTTCCATGCACTTACTGCTGCTGCTTTTCTTCCATCTCCTCTGTAGGTGGAACTTGAGATTCTTCAACAACTTTACTAGCAGCCTTTTTCTTCTTGTTCTTCTTGTCCTTCCAACTTTCCACTCTATTCTTCCATATCGGGTTCCCAGATTCATCATGTAGTTCTTCACAAGGGAAAATGATTACACCAGAGAGGTAAATTAGAAACTGTTCTCGATAAACAAAAATGGAGAAGCCAAATCAATCACAAGATGCTTTCAATTCACTCACCACTGTCCACCGTAGACACACTACTGTGTCTAGCATGGAGATTAACATCCTGTACCAAGTATTGTACAGAAACACGTTAAATTCTTAACTAATACTTTTAAAGCAAAAAATAAGGGAAGCAGGGAAGGGATTAAATAATTCCTCGGAAAGCAATTGTTATAAATATTCATCTCTTAACACATATGGAAATGTCAGAGGATCGTACAAATACTAGTACCTGCATGTCATTGAGGTGAGTAGCCATTGTAGAATGATTTCCAGATACCTCTGTTTCAACATCAGCCATTGTGGATTTCTCTGTACAATTCAACCATGCATTCAGTCTATAGTATTAACTCATGAGAAACACAATTATAACAGTTATAAAAGGAAAATAATATATATATATATATATAGTATAAGAGAATATGCACACTTGTTTAGAAAAACAATTTGACACCCTCACATTAGTTGGAAAAAAAATTTGAAATTAACAAGTAATCGGTATGCAAAGTACTCAATAAACAGAATAGACAGCATAATTTGACACTGTCACGGTAGTTGAAAAAGGAATTGAAATTTTTTGGGCAGTACATCAAAAACCAACTGAGAGCATGATTAACGAGAGTATTGAGTGCTACGTATCATGAATCAGGTTTTTAAAATATAAGCTGCCACCG